TTACATCAAATGACAACAAGTTAGTCCAAGACCATAAAATGAGTAGTTATCCCTACCTCAAATTCAAGCTCAAAGAAGAAATTGAAGAAAAACGAAGGTACTCAAAATCCCCAAGATTTCCGGATCCATGTGTAGCCCCCAACAAGCTCCACACTTTTTAACAAAATGCCCAAGGTTAGAAGATCACTCCTACTAGATCAATACTAGAGATGAAGTTGGGTTTCATAGAGAGAGAAAGCTCTCCAATGGAGGGTTTGGAAAAGTAAGAGAGAGAAATGAATCAAAAGTTGATCAAAAAGTTACTTTCTCGACTAATATAAAAATCTTCCCGCTCGGAGCGATAAGAACGCCCCGCTCGAGCGTCAGACACAGACTCACGCTCGAGCTGTTTCAAAAGCGTCGCGTCCAAGCGATCGATGCACACTTCCAGAAATTTTGCAGGCGATAGTCCCCGTTGTAATGGTACAAAACTTCCCGCTCGAGCGGGAAAGAAAACAAAAATCAAAGGGTCACGCTCGAGCGTCAAACACCCGCTCGAGGGTATGAAGACCTGCAGAGAAAATACGGGAGATGGAATTTCCCTCGAGCGTCAAAACTCCCACCGAGCGGAGAAGAAGCAACAACAAAAGGCCCGCTATTGAGCGTTCAAAAGTCCCGCTCAAGCGTGAGACCAAATTCTAGGCCATCAACTTTTGTCCAAAAGCACAGAGCCAACCTATCTTTAAAACCTGCCCAACCAAAAACCCAAGACGCCAAATACAAAGAGTAAGGGAAGGAAATGAGAACGCAGACAACCAACACAACCACGGAACCAAGTCCGAAATACAATATACAAAGGAAGGGAAAACCGGGGATCGCTATAATAAACACATATTGTGCTATTAATCAATCTCATAATTATAGACACTTCCATCTTCACAATAAGATAAGGCATAGTATGTGCTGTGTCAATTGGAAAGTCCATCCCCTATCTCCTCCCAAATAACATCCGGTTTTAGGCAAGTCCATCCCTACTCCTCCTAAATCGTGGAGCATCCCCTATCCTCCTCACACACAAGTATAATGTATATGAACGTTTTATCATATACATGTCAATCAATACACATATAGATGTATTATTCCAACCGAGTCATTTTAAATGCACATTCAACCGGTTAGTTTTAATTCAACCTAATCAATCATGCCAGGTCTATAACAATCAAGACTATCTCCAAACGATAGCATCTCTTCACAAAGCAGATCTGGTATTTCTAAACAGATAATAAAATGCATCAACAGATAATAATCAATAAATTTCAAGGTGAGTGATTAATCAATCCAAACTCCAACGCATCATAGTCTCGCGTCCTTTTCAATCTATCTATAAGTGCAGGCGCAACTGCAGTTACATTTCACAAACTTTATGACACAAATAACTGTAATCCAAATTAATTTAATATTAACAAAGATGCAAGGGTTTTCTCCTCTTTCCTCAACATTGACCTAAAGGCTCAATATTCGACAATAGACAACCGATAACCCCTGTTGAGAACCGCAAATACACATGTTTTGGCCCAAAGAAACAAAATCCCTCTTTGTACATTCTTGAACCCTAACACCCAAAATTTTTCAACTTCCAATATAAATCAAAATGATTAATATGTTATGTCAAAGACGATTATAAAAATGAGTAGTATCCCTACCTCAAGTGGAGAGACACCCAAAGGATTGGAATGGAGAAAAACGAAAATGCGCCAAGACTAAGATTCTCGATGGAAAAGGGTAGCTCCAAGCGCAAGCTCTAACTACTTTTTACAAAGGGAAAGGTGTTGGAAGATCACTCAAACTAGATCAACCTTAGAGAGAGATGTGTTCTAGAGGAGAGGAGCGTCTCAAAATAGTGGTTTTGAAAGTAGAGAGCAGAGAGAAGTAGAAAAAGTGACTAAAATGGTACCAGCTGCTAATTGAATATACGTATGACCTGTTTCGAGTGCGGAAGAATAGACGCCTCCGAAGTCGTCAAAACACAAAAACTCAACTCGCTCGGCTAGCCAAGTACAAAACAAGACACCACCCGCTCGCAGCGCCAAAAAGGAACCCGCTTCGCGCAAGATTGCACTCGTCGTACTTTACAGGACATCGAACCACCGCTAGAGCGCAAGGACACCCGCTCGAAGTGTAAGGAAATCCGCTTGAGCGTGAAAAAACACATCTGCAGTAATTTTTGCAAAACAACAAACTACTGAAGTCATGCAAAACTCCGCTCGAGAGCGCAAGAACGACTGCCTCAGCGATCACTAAAAATCTGGGCAACACAAGTTGGGAACAAAAGCTCTCCACCAACCTGATTCGAAACTACGCCCAGACGCAATTCTAAACTCCAAAATACGAAGGGTCTGTTTGTAACGTTTACGTTTTTAGTTTTATATTTGCAAATTTTTATAACCTGGTTTTTGCTTATTTTTTGTTTATTTTAGAAAAACATAAACTACAAACGCGTTTGATAATTGACAAAATGTTTTAAAAAAATTTAGAAATATAAAAAGAGTGAGAAATGGACAAAAGTGGTACAAGTGCGGCGGCAGACGGTGGTGGAAAGCTGGCTGACGGTAGGGGGTGGTGGTGGCCGGTACAGGTGGCAGGGATGGGTGGCGTGGTAGGTGGGTCGGTCGAAGGTGGTGTGTGTGTGGCAGATGGGTGGCGAATGGCGAATGGCGATGGCTGGTGGTGGTAGGGGTGGTGCGCGGGTGCGTAGGGTGGCGGGTGGTGATGGTGGGTGGGTGGGTGACAGTGTGCGTTGGTAGGCGAGTGGGTGGGGTGGTGGTGATGGTGGTAGTGAGTGGGGTGGTGGCGGGTGTGGGTGGTGGTGGTCGGCGCGTTGGGTGGTGGGTTGTGCAGGTGGCTGGTGGTGGCGGTGGGTGGATGCGTGGTGCGGTAGTGGCACTGGGTCGTCTGGCAAGCGGTGGATGCGTAGTTTTTGCAAGTGGTCGGTGGCAGGTGAGGTGCGCCATGGTGTGGCGTGCGGTGGATGTTAGTGGCAAGTGGTGGGGTGGTGGCGGAGCTGGATGGCAGGTGAGTGGTGTGGTGGTGCGTGCGAGTGGTGGCAGGTTGGCTGGGGCTGGTGGGTGGCGAAGTAGGGTGGTGGGCAATGGTGATGCCGGGTGCTGGTCGGTGGCGTATTTTCGTTTTGATTTTTGAGTTGTTTTTTTTTTTACCACCCAACACTAGCCATCAAGCAGAAGACGGTGGTGGAAAGTGGTGGCTAGTGTTAGGTGGTAAAAAAAAAAACTCAAAACGGAAACATATTTTTTGAGTTTACATTTTTTTGGCTAATTTATAAACTGAGACCACTGATTTATAAATCAAAAATTTACCAAACAAGTTTTTATTTGAGTTTTTTAATTTTTATAAATATAAACTGAAAACTGAAAACGTAAGTGTTACCAAACGGCACCAAAGAGTTAAAGGACGGAAATGGAATACAGACAACAACAACTATCAACGGAACTGAGTCCGGAATACAGTAAACATGAGAGGAAAATCGGGATCGCTATATGAATGGGTCGGGTCAAGCAGTCCGGGCCCATGGGCCGGGCCGAGGCTTCAAAATGATGGCCCAGGCCCTGGCCCAAGGTATCAGGCTGGGCTTGGGCTCGGGTCTAAACGGGTCGGGCCCACCTCGGACCGCTCGCAGGCCATAGGCCAAATTTACACCCCTAATAATATTGGGTGGTTTTAAAAATATCTTGAACATGGGGTCCACCACTCCTTCATGAGTCACGAGACCCCTCTCATGATTTAAAACTAGTGGTAACCCTTACTATGCACGATATGTAAAAAATTAATAATATATTTTTATACAAAATATATAAATAGTTAAATTTTTGTATACAAATTATGAAAATAAATAAGATTGAAATGTACAATTTTATCACAATTTATTTATTATTTTTAAATTTGTTACAAATTTAATCATGTAATTTTCAATCGCCCTATAGCGATCCCGGTTCTTCCGCCTTTGGTTGTTATATCTGGACTTAGGTTCCGTGGAGTTGGTTGTTGTATATATCTTGTTGTCACCCTTTAATTCCATATATTTGAGTCTTGGGTTGTGTTAGGTAGGTTGGAAATAGGTTGGTTGTGTTTAGAAACCAAAAGTTGATGCCCAGATTTTGGCCTTCACGCTCGAGCGGGCTCTTTGTTTTTGCTTCTCCACTCGAGCGGGCATTTTGACACTCGAGCGTGATTATCCATCTCCCAGTATTTTGTTCTGCAGGTCATCGGACGCTCGAGCATCCACTTTCACGCTCGAGCGGAGACCATCGACTATAAAACTTCTGGAAGTGTGCATCCGGCGCTCGAGCGGTGCTTTTGACGCTCGAGCGTGAGAATGTGTCTGACGCTCGAGCGGGGCGTTCTACACTCGAGCAAACCTATTTGTATATTAGTCCGAAAAATAGCTTTTTGATCATTTTTTTTCATCTCTTTCACTTTCAAAACCCTAGATCCAACTCTTTCTCTACACACTCTCTCTTTAAGATTTCATCTATCTCTAAAGTGCTTTTACCCTAATCTCTTTGTAAGAAAGGTAGAGGGTGGCGTGGGCTTCACTTTAATCTGAAAAATCTTGGATTTGGAGCACTTTGGGTTTTCACCATCTTCTCCATTTGGTCTCTCCATTTGAGGTAGGGATAACTACTCATCTCTATGGTCTTTGACTTAAACTTGTAGTCATTTTGGTTAAATGTTGAAGTTGGGAAAGTTTGGGAGTTAGGGTTTCAAATCTTGAAATTATATAAGAGAGCTTTTTGTTTCTTTGAATTATGGATGTGTATTTGGGTCTTAAAAGGAGCCTATTAATGATTATTGTTAATATTTGGACCTTTGGGATCAATAGTGAAAAGGGGGGGAAAATACCATAGTTGGGTATAGTTGGGTCATTTGTGTAAATAATGACATTTATTATGAGATAATGGAATTGGTTTGGAAATAATGAAATTGAGAAGTTATGAGAATAAATGGTGGAGTTAGATTGATTAATCACTCACCTTGAAATTGTTGATAATTTATCTGTTGATGTATTTATTATCTATTTAGAAATAATTACTTTGGGTTATCGGTGGAGGATTGTCTTGATTGTTGTAGACACTGTATGTTGATTAGGAAAAACTGAATCTAATCACGTTGAATAAGTCATTGAATGTGACAGTTAGAATAATACATCGAATATGTGTATTGATTGATCTTGTATATAATAAGTGTTTATATACATTGTATTGTGTGGGAGGAGATAGGGGATGTACTCCACGGTTTGGGAGGAGATAGGGGATGGACTCCTAAACCAGATATTATTTGGGAGGAGATAGGGGATGGACTCCATTGATACAGTAAATATGTGTATCTATTGTGAAGTATGGAAATGTTTTAATATGATATTGATACAGCAAATATGTGTATCTATTGTGAAGTATGGAAGTGTTTTAATATGAGTTGTTATCTCATTTGAAATGGAAGTATGGTTGATATGAGTTGTAATCTTATTAAATTGTTTAGCCAAGTTCTGAGCAATGTTTATGAATTGAAAATTGGTTAAGCCATGTTTATGAATTGAAAATTGGTTAAGCAAAGGAAAGTAAAATGAACATGGACATGTTTGTCATGGAATTGGATTGTGTTGTAAATTGGTTGACCAGTGTTAACATTTATCGAATGCTCATGTTTTAGTTATTGCTCATATTATGTTTAGCATATCTCTACTGGGCGTTGGCTCATCCTATATGGGACATCATTTTCAGGTGCAGGTGATATGCCGCCTCCAAGGTCTTAGCTTGGGAGGTTGTAGTAGCTGAAGGCTTATTTTTTTGTGATTATTTTGTGTATTATATGTAAATCAAACCAAGGACTTATTTTGTATTTTGAGTTAGTACTCTCTTTTTTGTAACCAAGTATTGGCTTTGAAAGTTGTAAGCCCGTAGGGCACTTACTTTTGATGTCAACATTTAATACTTTTGTAATGAATACTCGGATAAATAGAATTATGCTTTAGTCTTTTAAGTTTATGTATGTCATGAATGTATGATTTATGGGTTTATTTTGGGGGTGTTACACGCCCTTACTAGAATTGCAAATTTAGGTGAACTTAACCCAAACAACTTGAGTCAAGCTTAAATTTTTTAAAAATTTAACAATATAATTTTTAATTAAGTGAGCAAAAATTCAAAAATTCAAATTAAATTTGAGTGAACTTGGGGAGAAACACCAAATAACCTGAAAAATCAAAATAAAATTATATATATAAATATATAAATTATTTGCTAATTTATTTTTTAAATAATAAATAAAATTAATTAAAAATTTAATTTTAATGAACAAAAGAAAAGGAAATATATTTAAGATTTCCAATAGAATTTTTTAAAAAATATTTAAAAAATAAACCTTTTAGAAATGGATCATCAAATAAAGGGTTGTTTGGAAAGTGTCATATTAGCTCACTTTTTTATCTTTTTATCTTTTTTAGGTGACATCACATTTCTACTTTTCTATATATTTTTTCATGAAAAGTAAAAAAGTACTTAATTATCTTTTTTAGTCACATCACATCTTTATTTTTTTTACATATTTTTGTAAAAAGTAAAAAATATATATTTAATTATCTTTTTTAGGTCATATCACATTTTTACTCTTTTGTATATATTTTCGTAGAAAGTAAAAAATATATATTTAATTATCTTTTTAGGTCATATCACATTTTTACTATTTTGTATATATTTTCGTAGAAAGTAAAAAAATATATTTAATTATCTTTTTTAAGTTACATCACATCTTTACTTTTCTGTACATATTTTTGTAAAAGTAAAAAAATATACTTATTTAGGAGTGTTTTGCGAAGATGGTTAAAAGCTGCTTTTTGATTTTTTTTTTGACATTTTTGTGAGAGAGGGAAGTGGATTAAAAGTTGGGAAGTGACTTTTAACCCATTTCCCAAAATAGGCCTTATTACTTTCCAAACTACCACTCAGTTAATATTAAAAAAAATTTACTTTTTATAATGGCATAAATAATTTAAATATAATTTTTTAGAAATTATTTTTAATTTAAAAATTACAATAAAATATTAAATAGAATAAAAACAAATTTCTTATAAAATAAAAGTGTTTGAATAAAAAAAGGTAAGAAGAAAATTTAATATGGTATTTTCTTTTAATCTGAAAATAATTTTAGATGAATAATAAATTATCACTTATAACCCTCTTTTTTTAAAATAAAAAAGGTTTAGCGAACTATCACTTTTAATAAAAAAAATTAACATTTCTTTCTAATTTATTTTAGCAAAAGTTTTGAGTCAAAGATATTTTATTCTTTATTTTAATTTCTTTAATTAACAATTGAGACTTTAAAATAAAATAAAAAAAAAATCTAATAAAATTCACCATATTTGGTAAGTACTATAGCGATCCCGGTTCTTTCTCCTTTGGTTGTTGTATCCGGACTTAAATTCCGTGGAGTTGGTTGTTATATATATCTTATTGTCATCCTTTAATTCCTTATATTTGAATCTTGGGTTGTGTTGGGCAGGTTAGGAATAAGTTAGTTGTGTTTAAAAATCAAAAATTGATGCCCAGATTTTGGCCTTCACGCTCGAGCGGGGCTTTTGACGCTCGAGTGGGCCCTTTGTTTTTGCTTCTCCGCTTGAGCGGGTATTTTGACGCTCGAGCATGATTATCCATCTCCCAGTATTTTGTTCTGCAGGTCGTCGGACGCTCGAGCGTCCACTTTCACGCTCGAGCGGGGACCATCGACTGCAAAACTTCTGGATGTGTGCATCCGGCGCCCGAGCGGCACTTTTGATGCTCAAGCGTAAGTCTGTGTCTGACGCTCGAGCGGGGCGTTCCATGCTCGAGCGTAACTGTTCGTATATCAGTCCGAAAATCAGCTTTTTGGATCACTTTTTCGGCATTCTCTCTCTCTCTACCTTTTCAAAACACAAACTTGAGAGCCTCTCACTCTAGACTTCAACTTCTCTCTAAGAAATCATCTAGCTTGAGTGATCTTCTCCCTTAGTTCCTTTGCAAAAAGTGTAGAGCTTGGCTTGGGCTACATTTTGATCCAAAAATATTTGGGTTTGGAGCACCTTCGAAATCCTTCATTTTCTCCATTTGGTCTCTCCATTTGAGGTAGGGATAACTACTCATTTTTAT